ATCCTGTACAGAACATTGAACTCCCAAAACGTAAGTCAAGCAGGCTAAAATGCATAAAAAATGAACTGCATATTTGACATTTCAGATCTTTATTGACAGTGCAACCACACAACCATCACAATGGTGCAAAACCAAACAAAACAACTTTATAGTCCTTGATAATTCTCCTTTGAGTTAAGCATTACAGCTTGAACCAACATTAATATTTAAGGCCTTTCCTGAAATAAGATGTTACCTTGTAACCTTTTTGGATATGACATGGCTAAACAGACGAAAGGAATGCACAGTGATTAAAGCCTCGCCTGGTTATATAAAAAATGTAAAAGATAACGTATTTGCTAAATTGAGAAAGCGATACCCGGACCTTGTTATAGTTTCATGACATTTTGTTTCTTAACAAGGTTCAGAGTTCACACAAATGCACCATCTGGAAAATATCCCTGTCACGTCAAGGCAATTGCATGTGGTACAGAATCACCAAGTTATAGGATGATACTGTATTTTCACTTGCACCGTCTTTATTAAAAAGCTACAGACTCGCTTGCCTGCGCTTTCCTATTCCTGTGAGTCTTTGACGTGTGGGTTCTCTCCGAGCTCTGGTGAGGGTGAATAACAGCTACAAAAAAGAGTACCAAGACAATAAAAATCTGGCTGTCTTCCCTTACAGAGGGATGGGCAGCTGGGAAGGAGGCCTCAGGTCAAAGGTCCTGACGAAACAGCCAATGAAAAAAAACAAGCTCTAAAAGAATTGACCCAGTACAGGGGTCAGGAAGCAGCTTTTGTGCTACAGTACTGAGCATCTCCCACAGCCTACCAGAATGGAGCGCTGTGGTGCAGAGGTCAGGGTGCAGCAACCAATCTTTACCTCGCAGGTACAGGTTTGTGTCCAGTATTTCAGCAATGAAAGGAATGGGGGAAAAAAAAACAGCTGTTGCTTTTTTTCTTCATTTTAATTACCCTTAGCTCCAGCTGGGTGGGTTACTTCTCGATTGTCAGAACAGGAAATAGAGTTAATTCCAACTTGGTTAACAAAATGTTATAGATCCTTATTGACAGCAGTATTGCCAGTTGTGTAGCCTGCTTTTTGGCAGAACTCAGAAGCTTTAGTCTGTACCAGGATGGGAGAACTTGAAGGCAAATTGGAGTGCTGCTCTAATTGGAATTGGTGGACCAGCAGGTGGTGATGTTTCCTCTTGAACAGGATTTTCAAAAAACAGCAAAACCTTTCACTCTGTGCTTCCATCCTTTGTGGACCTGAGTGCCTCCTGATCTATAATGCAGTCCTTAAGGCTTGTCAAATTGGTAGTGGCACTTCTGTAGGCTTGTGAAGGAAAGACATTACAACGTAAGCACATAAGAAAGGTTCAGAGCGAGACGCGGCCATTTGACCCAGTAAGCTCTCTTAGTAGTTAGTAGTTCATTGATCTAAGAATCAATTCCACATTCAACCACATGGCTGGAGAGATTGTGCCAGACTCCCACAACCCTTTGAGTAAAGAAGTGCCTAACTGGGACCGACCCTGCATGGCTTCCAAGATCATACAAGATCGGGCAGACTCATGGTGGGATGGCTGTAAATGAGGACCATATCATGGCCACAACTGATTCATTCTGAGAAGACGCCAGTGGGAGTTCAGACGTAGATCATTTTAGTCTGCAACTCAGTGTTATAGGGAGATGGCTGGACAATACGATTGAGGGACACCTATTAATCATCACTCTTTCTCCGTCAGTGCAGTGCAGAAGTGAAATAAACAACAGGGTCCCCAGATTAAGGTAACAATTAGATATGAACTGTGGGTTTCCTAGAGATAGCTACGTGCAAGTTTTGTATACGCACAAATTCTGTATTGCTTTTTGTGAAAGCAAAAATCCTGATGTAAGCCATTCGCAGGATGTTCTCTGCAAACAGGAAAAAGGTAGCACTGGGGTTTCTGTACTTGTGAAGAATACGAAATTCTGTACTATATGTGCCTGCAGTTTGGTGACACGTACATTATCTTAGTATTCACGACAAGACACTTTTAAGTCGATTCTGTAAACTTGATACATTATGTTTTGAATAAATAAGATGCTTTATTAATTTCACATGATTTACAGTATTATGTTAGTTTTCTTCCTTTTAATATTGCTTTCTGGCTTGTAGAATAATTATGAATCCTTGGGAAGATGCTTTTGAATTATTTTATTTGCATAACTGCATCTGTACTGTATACATTAACCCATTTGGTTCTGTTCAATCTTTTGTGCATTACTGACTTGCATTAATAAAGCTCAAATCAAAGTTTTTTTTTTTAGTTGTGCAATGCATGCAGTTACGACTTTTAATTTAAGTGCATTAAATATTAGTGTAAGGCTCTGGCTTCCCCTCAACCCTGAATTGGAAGAAGTCAAAAGTCATCTATATACTGGACATGCGTTATGCTCTAGTAATGATGAAATCTTGATGAATTAACCTTTGATTGTCTAATGGAGGGTTCTTGATTGATAAAAGTCTTCTATTATTTTTTTTAAAAAGGTCCAAGTGGTCCAAATAGATTCCTCTGTTTTGTAACTGTTCTTATGTTCAATGCATTCGAGTGCAAACTTGGTTTAAAAGCTCGAATGTTCAGCTGCAGCTTTTCATTTGCCTAAAGACAGGTTGTAACACAAGTTACAAGGTTGCCTGTTTTAGGGGACTTAAATAAAGGGTGTATTTGCAGGGCAAAGTGTGCTGCAAGTCTTAAACTTTGTGCCCCAGATACAAATGTGTCCTGTCCACACAAGGGGAGCAGGCACAGAGCGATGTATTAAGATGCTATTGAATGTCAGCCTCTGTTACATTTGATTTGCAAGTCAGTAAAACAGCTACCGGAAAAGGAACGGCGCTCCCCTCCTCCCCACGTCCTCTTAACGTCAGCCTGAGAAACGGGGAGTCTTGTCCCTGGTGTTTGGTTTCCTACTGGAACTGCACACATGGCATTTTCCTGCACAGGAGCCATTGCAGAGACTGAGCGGCTGGGGTCAGGGCTCTGCCTATTGATCAGTATATCCCTGCTCTCCCAAATACTGCATCTGCTTCACTGGCTCCTTTCAGAGCCTGCTCCCCTACATTAGAATAGAAATCCATAACCAGAGCTGTGCTCATCCAAGCAGGGGAAGAAACTAAATTAAATGCTATAAAACAATCCTGGAATCAGGAGTTGGTGCCAATTCATCTTGATCTAGAATGTCATGCCAGCTCTCTCCTTTCGGAGCACCTGGGCCAGAGGCTGCTGGAGTGAAAATAGATGGGGCTTGTCTGTCAGCCGGGGAGCTCAGCAGCAGTTAGCAATTCCCTATTGCAGAGGTCAGCTGACAGAACAATCAGTGTGCAGGCTCAGAATGGAGCACTCTGCCTGTGCCTTTGTCCAGATGCATGCGCCACGCAGAGAGTGGGGGAGCGAGGGTGTGCGTCCGTGTGTGTGTGTGTGTCTGTGTCTGTGTCTGCTCGCGTGCGCCCGCGTCACTGTGGGGAAGGTGTGGGGATCAGGAAATGACTCCCGGGGAACAGGCCCTGCTCACACAATAGAATTCGGTTCCCTCCACTTCCGAAACAGAAGTGCTTATTGTGAGAGAACCCCATTTGTTACAGGGCTGCCAGTGGCTGCACGTGTTGGTGTCGGCTGTAAAGGTTGCTTCTTTATGTCAGATGCCATCTGAGGTGGAGCTCACAAGGTGCGAATAGTGTTTTCCTGCTAAGCCGATGTAGATATCTTGGAAATTAAACATTCATGTTTATTTCTCAGGCTGTGAGTCATAGTTTTTTTTTTTAAGAATTTGTGTGCATGTTTGTGGCTCCTGGACATCTTATTATTAGTCTGGCGCACTCACTTTTCTAACTTCACGTTCTTCTCATAGAACTCTGCCATATTTCTTCTAATAGCAAAGAGAACTAATAAAATACAAATGGTACATGATATGTGCTATTATGCTATTCACTTAATTTGATAAAGAATATTTCTTTAGTTTAATATCTTTTCTGTGATACTGTATAAAAACCCTGCACAGTTCTTCTTCACCTTTTTAGTGTAGTTTGGAATCCTACTGCATATATAGAGATTTTAAAAATGATTTTAAAATTGTTGACGTTTAAAGTAAAACAATCTCTTTCTATTGAAAATGAATTTTTCCATTTATTTTTATGTGAGTGTAAAATAAATGACGTCAAAGAAAAAGCAGTACTGGATTCACAATATCTCTTTAACTAGTAATGGTCGTTCTGAATATTTCAATATTACACTTTTAAACTTACCCAAGTGAAAGATGTGATGATAGTCATAGCTGTTGCATAGACAATTTTCTGGGTTGTTTTTTTTGCGTTAATGGACAAAATATACTGAAAGTCACTTTATGTTTTTAACTGCTGAAGCATTGAACCAAAAAACTATTGGGAGCAACTAATTGTATCTTGGACTCAGTATACTGTACCTATTTAGAGGTTAAAAGTTTTTCTTTTGTGGACCAAAAATACTGTAATTGCACAGTTATCAGTAGGCCTTTATTATTTGAGTGCTGAAGATTTTCCAAAGTATGAACTTCAGTGAGGTGGCATAGTGGGGCAGTGGTTAGTATTGCAGCGCTGGGGGCCCTGGGTTAACCTACTGTATGTGTGGAGTTTGCATGTTCTCCCTGTGTTCGCATGGGTGTTCTCCCACAGTGCAAAGACATGCTGGTTGGTTCATTGGTCCTGGGAAAACTGGCCCTGGTGTGAGTGTGCACGCGCGTCTGTGTCTGCGTGTGCCCTGCGGCAGACTGGCATCCCCTCCAGGGCGAATCCTGCCTTGCGCCCACTGCTTGCTGGGATAGGCTCGGGCTTCCCTATGGCCCTGTATCGGATAAAGAGGTTAGAAATCGGACGGGTGCACTTCAGTGCTGAGATGAGCGGCACGCTAAGCTGCTCAAGCTGGAATGTGACTCTTCTCCAGGTGAGAAAATTCGAATTCTAATTCCGCCCTGCTTTTCTCCTTCTCTGATCCCAGGGTGCCTGTCCGGCCTCCCGCCGCACATAAAGAAGACCTCCTCGTCCTACGAGGAAAGGCGCAAGCAGGCGACCGCTATCGTCTTGCTGGGGGTGATTGGAGCAGAGTTCGGTGCTGAGATAGAACCTCCGAAACTGCCGTCCCGGTCACGTACTGCCACCCAGGCTCCTGATGGCTTCGGGCTTTCTACTGGAGGGTCCAATTACTCGCTGGCCAGGCATACCTGTAAGTACATGTCATTAAGGGGCATCCTGATGGGAATTTCAACTGTACGCTTACCATTTAGTCTTCTACAAATTAACTGAATGTCTCTATTGATCATGTTGTCTGGATATCTTAAAGATTTGTGGCTTAGGAGGAACTAGATCATAGTGTATTACATTACAAAGTTGTTGTTTTTTTTACCCCGTTTGTCAAAAGGGAGGCATTAACCCAGTGAGAGTACGGTGCCTCTAAATTTTGGGGGAAAAAACAAACGCTCGCAAAAAGTTTCTCTAACCTCATATAATTTGGCCTTTTTGTTGGATTTCTTTGTTTTGGCTGCCGAGTTTGTCCCAATCTGGGCACCCCCCCCCTCCCTTGTTGTTTCAGTCTCACTGACGCTTGAGGGCTACATAAATAACCTAAGATCGAGTTAGCCCAGAGCCAAAGTAAAGCTGATGGGGAGGTTCTGCGCATTTAGTTATATTGTCTGGGGGTGTTCTTGGGAAATATTGGAGCTGCAATCTTTTTTCCCTGCCTTCACTTTATGTGTGTGTGTGT